CTGGGCTTAAAATATTAAATTCACCCGGGCTCTGACCTCGAGTATCTTCTTCCCCTTCTGCCCACATGCTCCCTGGCCTCACACCTTCTAAATGCCTCAACCACCTCCTGAATGCTGATAATCCCTGCATTGATATCTGAGCTCTAGACTTCCTTCTGAGGTCTAGATCTCTATATTCAAACAGATATTCAAACAGACTAGTGGAATCTTCTCCTCAGTGTCCGTGGGCTACTTATACTTAACATGGGACAGAAGACACCCTCCTGGCCCCCTGCCCACTAGCAGATGATGCATTGTCCCTGGTCACTGTCACAGAGAACGGCAGCATCACTACCCAGTCACCCGGAACAGAAATATGCTGGTGGTGCAGGGTAATTGTCATCCAAGATTTCTGACTCTCCTGCAAGCCTCCAAACCAATTTATCCCAGGCACTTTGCCTTCCTTTTCACATATCTCATCCTTCCACCCAGCCTGCCACCTTACCTCGGCCTCTCATCAATTTTGCCCAGATAACTGTGTGTTACCTGTCTCCCTGTCCCCGATCCAGTTCTCCTTCAACCTTCCCTCTCTCTACCTACAAGAGTTATTTTTCTAAAATTCAAATCAGATCATAAAATTTGCCTTTTAAAACATTTTAAACGTCCTTTCCTTCCACACGATGGTGTAACAAATAAAGCCATTTCTGGCCTGGGTCCTGTGAATCTGGCCTTCTTTATTTTCTCCCACCCTCCAAGCTCAAATATGATCTCATCTGTGAAACATGATTCATGCTCATAGGCTTCAAACTGCTCAGATGTCCTATATCCCCCAGCTGAGATCAAACAGTCTAAGAGGCTTCAGAACCTTGGCTGTACATACTAACCAGCTACTTGACCTTAAACAAGTTTCTTCATCTGTGTCCTATTTGCTTATTTGTAAAATTGATATAATAACAACACCTGTCTCATAAAGTCCTTCTGAGGTGTAAATAACATAATTCATGTAAAAGGATTAGCAAAGAGCACAGCACTTGGAGAGAACTCATCAAATGTTATTGTGAGGATTATCATAATGATTTCTATGTGCATCTTTCCATTAGGGAATTATTCATGTATCTTCTGCAAGTAACATACTATCTGACACATAGTCATGACTCATTTAATGTTTGTTGAGTTTATCAATGAGTGAATGGGTAGATGAATCATTCATTTTGAATAATATTGATTCATATATATTGATATGTATATAAATCAATATAATTTCTGGGTCAACAAGTAAGAAGTCAGGCATTTGGTAGGTGTCCAATAAATTATTCTTACACTTCATTATCGATGCCTAAGACTTATTTGAGTTCAGGTGTTCATCCAGTTTTCTCACCTCTCTGAGATAAACTGAGGATGTAAAAATGAATAATGGAAAAAAGCCCATCATTCTTCTCTCACATTATAAATGTGACAAAATGAGGGTTTAATTAAGATCAATCAAATATCAGTGGCCTTGCTTCCAAAATCTGTATTAGTCAGGGGTCTCTGAATAAACAGACCAATAGGATGTGAATGTGTGTGTGTCTGTACATAAGAGTGTGTGTGTGTGTGTGTGTGTGTGTGTGTGTGTGTGTGTGTGTGTGTGTGTCTAGAGAGAGAGAGAGAAAGAGCAAGATTTATTTTAGGAATGGGCTTATGCAATCACGGAGGGGATTAGCCAGTCTAAAAACCTACATGACAGGACTGCAGACTTGAGACCCAGGGAAGAATTGATGTTTCAGTTCCAGTCTGAAGGCTGTCTGCCGGCAGGTGCTTAGAAGGATTTTGATAGGATTTCTATTACCCTTTTATTACGCATGAGGACATTCAAAGTGAGAGTGATCACAAAGCCAGTAAGCTGTTACTGATTACTAAAACCCTGATTACTAAATCCCACCACTGTCCATTAAAGCACACAGCAATTCTCCAGTGATTTCTAAACCCTCCCGAAGAGAAAAATATATGCAAATAACTTTCACAAATAGCTTTCCTAAAGCAAAGAGACTATGTGCTTTATTTCCTTTATATATTCTTTGCTCCTAAGAGAATGGCTATAAAGTGCAGGCTGTGTCTGAAAGCAAAGAGAAGGAGAGGAAATACTCCTTCCTCTGAAAGCAAAGGGGAGACATGTAATGAGTGTCCTTGGGCTTCCAACATGTGAGATATTTTCTTTAAAAATTCTGACCAAGAATATTCTTAGCTGTGCTTATGTGCCCCCTGACTCATCTTTTAGCTTAAGATCCTAAAGAACGTTGACCTTCAAAAAATGTCCAGAAGGAATAATACATTAAGCCTTTGCTGAGATCCAAATGTTAGCATATCAATTACAAATCATGATCCCTTTGTGATAGAAGGCAAGAGGGAGACAGCTGAGGAGAACTACAAGACGGAAAAGTTATCTGTGTGAGCATTTTTTCTGAGGCCTTATATTTTCCAATCTGCCTCAAATTATGAGGTTTATTTGTACCAACTTCCAGTAATGGTTTTAAACCACATTGTTCAAAGCACAACATAATTGTACCCCTTAAGTCAGCTTGCTTTTCAGCCAAATCAAATATTTCTGTCTCCACCAGAACTTGGAAATGAGAGCTCGGTAGAATATTTCAACTTATCGTTTACATGGGATGGTTCACCTGTGTAAGATATTCCTGTCTTTTTCCTTGGTCTTTTTTATCTCTGATATTTGAGGATAGAAGATTTTATTCTTCTAGCTAGGCAATGTTCTCTGGAAAGCCATTCTCATCCTCATTGACATGAATGAAGAATTATGCATGGTTTAATGATGAGGTATAAACATTTTTTTATAGACAATGATGTCATTTATTTAAATGTTTACTCCAAGAAATATATATATATAATATCAATTATATATATATTAATATATGTTATATATATAATATTTATATATAGAGAGATATATACTCAATGCAGGGCACACCATATATATATATATATATATATATATATATATATATATATATATATAAAAAATAAGACAATTACAGCACTAAACCAGGAATCTTCGACCGAATCACAACCTCCTCTTTCATTTCCCTTCATGCTAAGCCCCTTTCAAATTCTTATTCCTGAGCTGGAAGACCATCAGATGCCTGTGGGGTCAGCGCCAGGCATGTTTCCAGTCAGGCAACTGTGTACTTTTCTCTAGGAGTGCAGGATGCCCTTCCCCAGCTTCTTGTTTTAAAGGATTTAACTCATTAGTAAGTTTATGTTTCAATCTAAGCCAAAAGGAGGTGTGGACAAGGCAGTCTTCACTTCGAAGGTCCCTTTCCTGCTCCAGTCCCTGGCTAGGGTTCTAGAAGAGGTTGGGTGCTGGGTTTACATGAGGCCGCTGGAAGGTCTAAGTCCAGCTCTGCCCAGGGCGGCTCCTGCAAAGGCTGGGACTTGGGTGCTGCTTCCTCAACCATTTTGGTGACTGTGACTCAAAGCAGGGACTTCAAGGGAGCCAGGGGCACAGGTGCCTGGGCTGCCTTCCAGAAATGAGACCTGTCCGGGGAAACAGATCAGGCTGTTGCATGGAAGCTTGAGTCAGAGATGGTGGTTTTGGGGTGATTTGGACAAATCAGATGACTTTAGCAAGGCTCTGAAGAGGCAGAAGCTTCTTCCTTGGACTACTGATTGAACACAGAACAAGAGATGCACGTGGTGTCAGACTAAGTCTTAGAGAGATACAAGCCAGCCTCCTCCCACAGGGTCTTGGGACTGGCATAACAGACACTCCTATGTGCCCTCTGAGGGCAGGAGTCACGGTAAGGAGCGACTGGGGCGGAAAATAGGGAAAGAAGCGACAACAACTAGATCATTTTTGGCATTTTAACATGGAGTCAGTGACAAGTGGTAACAACAGCAAGAGAAAAAAAAAAAAAAAAAAAAAACTTGAAGACACCCATCTACCCAAATCTCACACTGAAGTTCCATTACCATCTTCCCTATAAGCACCACTGAACCAAATATCCATTTTAAAGCACCCAAACCAGTCCAGACCCCCTGGAAACAAACAACCCCAGCCAGAGCTGCCACCTCTCTTGGGTCCAGGAGAGGGGAGGGTTCCAGGAAAGGCACCTCGTAACTCACTCAGTGCAGGGCACACAGAGGTGAGCTGGGGCACGGGCACTTGATGGGGACCCAGGTGGCATTCACAGCATCCATGCAGACATGCAAGGAAGGGTACTCCTCAGTAATCCCAAGAGGTGTAAACTTTAATTGTGAAGTATAAACTAGAATTCAGACTACTGAAGGTAATGGACACCAGAGATATTATCTTTTTAAAATTATTAGTCTTTCTAGAAAAATATTTTTGCTTGCTATTAATGCATTCTATGGTTAAGGTTGCTTCCTAGCCACTCAGTAGCTGATTAAAAGCAGAGATTACAAAACATCTCTGAAATAAGCACTTACGTCTGGAAGGGAATAATCACAACACAAAGGAAGCATCTAGCTGACCAAACTTTCAGCCATAATTTGGAATTCTGAACTGAGGGCTGAAAACTAGAAGGATATTAACATAAACTCCTTTCTCCTTTCTAGAGCACTCAAATAATTTTATTTACATCACTTCTAATGAAAGGAAAACCAGGATAGAAAAAGAAAGCTAGGAAGTGAATAGGTAGGTTCTGAATCACTGGTCAATAGCGTTGAGCATGAGCATTTGATTAGAGTGCAGATATTTGTGTGTATAATTGGCAAAGGATGATTGCCACAGTGAGCCAAGTGCACATGACGCCTCTTGACCATGGTGTCACAGCAATAGGCCTGGGAACCTGTCACCATGCTGCATGATGAAATGGCAAAATCAAAAGAGGCAATTTCCAGGAAATATTTCTGACTTCCTGGCTGCACATCTCTTCTTTCCTCACAAGGTATGATTAAAACTTTAGCTAGATCTCATTTAACCAGCAAAGCAAAATAATTTATTATATTCAAATAATGGGGATTTTAGGATTTAATATTCATTCAGTTTTGTTTTTTAAAATCATTGTTTTGTGGAGAAATTCAACAAAATTAATTATAGCTGATTATATTATGCTCACCAGATTAAGGGTGCATCGGTTTTCCCCAGCCCACTGACCCAAATATTAATCTATTTTGGCAACATCCTCATAGAAACACCCAGGATTAATACTTCGTGTCCTTCAATCCAACGAAGTTGACAGTGTTAACCATCACACAGGCTAAAGCAAAACATATGATCTGTAAGCACTCTACAGATCAGTAAACTCTGAACAAAAGTGACTAAGAAATTTTAAAACTAACACCCTTCTTTACAAAGTGGCAGTGTAGCAGTCATTTCTTTTTAAGGAGAACTTTGGACACTATAAGCAAGCAGAAGACCCAGCTTCTGGGAAATACCCTCTGGGATGCAACTGTACTCCTTTTTAGGTATGTTTATGAAAAAGGAGAAACAACAGCAATCCATTTCTAAATATTTTAGGATATTTTTAATGGGAAAATGTAAAATATTTTTATGTTTTTTCATAGTGGATTCCTTCCCAGCAGTAAGCATTTATGGACATGGTACAACATAAATGCAGGGTGCTAGGGAACGCAAGGCAAAGCAAGAATGACCGAAGCTGGGAAGAAAAGATGTGTCCTCCAGAAATACACACAAATTCCCCTAATGCAAGTTCTGGGTAAGTATGATGGCACATCCTAAATGCATAGAATTTTTAACAAGTATAGGGGAATGAATTAATAGATAGATAAATTAGAGAGAGAGAGAAGGGAAAGAGAGAGAGAGACAAAGAAATGGATTCAGATGTCATTCAGAATATTGCTATGCAAAGTTGTACACACTTTTATGACATCATCTACATACCACCTATTTGGAGTTCTTCTTTGGGAACTGCCTTCCTAGCAAATTTACTAATTACAAAACATACTTTTTTTCACAAATGCAACTTTTGACCAAAAAAGACAATATTTTCCTAGTTAATTACTAGTTTATCAGACTTTGCTCCAATTGTATTTTGTATATTAAAGGAAAATCAAATCCATTCTAAAAGCCCAACATATCTGTCAGCTGAAAATATTTAAGAATAATGTGAAAGATGTTTCTGAATGGAAATTTTTATACTTTTTTATTATTTAGCAATAGTAGCAGTATCAGTAAAGTAACACCTCTTAAAATGATTACTATGAAAACAATCACCAAACATTTAGAAGAGTCTTTACAGCTCAGGGATCAAAAGCACATGCAGAACTTTGGGCAAATTATTTTATTTCTTGAGCTTTAGTTTCCTATCAGTGATAAACAAAGCTCATTCTATTTCATGGGATGATGATGATTATTATTAAGATGGAGTCTCGCTCTGTCTCCAGGCTGGAGTGCAATGGTGCAGTCTCGGCTTACTGCAACCTCCGCCTCCTGAGTTCAAGTGATCCTTCTGCCTCAGCCTACGGAGTAGCTGGGACTACGGATATAAACCACCACGTCCAGCTAATTTTTTTTGTATTTTTAGTAGAAACAGGGTTTTACTATGTTGGCAAGGATAGTCTCGATTTCTTGACCTCATGATCTGCCTGCCTCAGCCTCTCAAAGTGCTGGGATTACAGGTGTGAGCCAGCGTGCCCAGCCTTCGTGGTATTATTGAATGAGAGAATGTATAAATCAGTGGTGTATGACAATGTCATGCACCTCCAAAACCTTCAGTAATGTTTCCTAGTATTATTTGATAATAGGCACCTTATAGCAGGCTTCTATATAGGCCTACCTTGTTATCATGAAGACATATTTCACGTATACCATGTATCAAAGTTTGTACAAATTATAAACCCTGTAAAATTTCATATAAGTCACATTTAGTTATTGATATTGTGTAAACAAAACTGAAAAAGACGTTTTGAACCCAACCAGCTGAAGTTTGAGAGTGGAACCATGGTTCTTCCTAAAATCTGAAAAGGGGTTTTCTAGTACTATGTTGAGACTGCTTGATTTTTCATGAACTGGTATGTATAATAAACTGGACTTTGTTTACATATTTTTGTTCTTATTTAACTATCTATATGCCCTAATTGTGCAGTGCTTCTGGACTTGCATGCATACATATTTTGTTAATTAGGCATATTTACTCAAACATGTTAAGTCATTTTTTAAAATTCAAAGAGCTCTGTAAGACAGGTTATGAGAAAGAGTAGATGCTTAACATTTTCACTATTCTTGTCCTTTCCAGAGGCATACACATTAAACTCTTTCAATGGATTACTTTGTACTTGTATCTATGATGGTTAGAAATATGTATCAACTTGAATAGGTCATAAGGTGCATAGATATTTAGTTAAACATTATTTCTGAATGTATCTGTGAGGATGTTTCCAGGTAAGATTAGTATTTGAATTAGCAGACTGAGTAAAGCAGGTTGTCCTCCCAAGTATGGATGAGCATCATCCGATCTGCTGAGGGGCTGCAATAAAACAAAAAGGCAGAGGAAGGAGAATTTGCTCTCTCTATGTGAACTGGGACATCACCTTCTACTGCTCTTGGACTGGGACTTACACCATCAGTGCTCCTGGTCCTCAGGCATTAGATTAACTTGGGCTGGTTAATCTAGGCTTACCATGGTCTTGATAACTCGTTCCCATCCTCCTAGGAATTTACTTTGCCTCTCTCTTCTGCTGCATCTTATGGTTACCTGTTTCTTGGTTTTCTTCTTGACTTTAACAGAACACAACCTCCCGAGAACGGTGAAAGGATCATAGACAATCATAGTTTTCAGTTCTTGCATATCTTAAACTATCTTATCCATAAACTCACATTAGATATTTGGCTTAACAGTTTTGTTGTAGATTATTTGTACTAAGAATGTGAAAATATTTCTCCTGTGTCTTCAGGTTTCCAGTGTTCTATTAAGAAATGTGATGGCCTTATTCTTTGCATAAAACTCTCTCTAGAAGCTTCTAGAGGCTTCTCTTTGCCTCCATTACTCTAAAATTTTAATTACGCTTCCTGGTCTGGGCCTATTCGCATTTATTGCATAAGACATGTGGGACAATAAAACTCACATTCTTTAGTAATGAATATATTTTAAAAATATATTTAATCATCTAATTTTCTTATCTTCAATTTCCTACCTCTATTTGCTCTGATTTCTAGCTATCTTCTATGTTATCTTCCACTTCTTCCACTTGGTTTTTTATTTATATAAACATGTTTTTAACCTCGAAGAGCTTCTTTTTTTTTTTTTTTTTTTTTTTTTTGAAATGGAGTCTTGCTCTGTCATCCAGGCTAGAGTGCAATGGCACAATCTCGGCTCACTGTATCCTCCACCTCCTGGGTTCAAGGGATTCCAAGAGATTCTTTATATTTTATGAAGCACTTCATAAGATACATTTATTGGTTTATGTTTCATTTTCCCTCTTCGAATATTAATGATATCTTTGAGATATTCTTCTACTTACATATTTCTTATTCAGTATTTGTCTCTCTGATTTCTTTTTACAAAGTATTATTCCTGTTATCTGCAACCCCCTTCTATTTGTCATTATGGGTGTATTGTTTTTCAAAAAATGTATCTGTCAGCTGTTTTTTAAGAGTCTTTAAGGGGTTCCAGAACCATTTATGCATTCAGCCCTCATGTTTAAGCAGCCCATATTCACCTGTTTCAAAAATCCTTCCCATATACTCATGATTCAGAATCAAAATTCAGATTTATCTCCAAGACAAATAAGCTTAAAACAACTTATATGACTGGGCTCAGTGGCTCACACCTGTAATCCCTATACTTTGGGAGGCTGAGGCGGGTGGGTCACCTGAGGTCAGGAGTTCAAAACCAACCTGGCCAACATGGTGGAACCCCATCTCTACTAAAAATACAAAAATTAGCTGGGCATGATGGTGGGTGCCTATAGTCTCAGCTACTTAGGAGGCTGAAGCGAGAGAATCGCTTGAAACCGGGAGGTGGACAAGTTGCAGTGAGCCAAGATTGCGCCGTTGCACTCCATCCTGGGCAACAAGAGCGAAACTCTATCTCAAGAAAATAAAAACAATATCAAAATACTTATGCGAACTTCTAGCTGTTCCTCCCTGGGCAAATCAATCTCAACTGCAATGCTGAGTATACGGTCTATTTTTCTTTTTCTTTTCTACTTTAGTTTGCACTCTTGATCTTGTTTAAATGTCTAGATTTTTTCCAGAGTGTTCCTTCAAAGGCTGTTTTCACTTGTGGATGCTTCTTGATCCTGTTCTATTCTGTGACAGTGCCACCTCACAGACATTGAATGAGAATCACAAATGTGAGCCACGTATGTCCATTTTAATTTTCTAGGAGCCATAAGAAAGCAAAAAGAACAGGTGAAATTAATCTTAGCAATAGCATTAATCTAATATACCCCAAATACTATTTTAACATGTAATTAAATATAAAATAATAAGTTTTATTTTTTAATTTTGCATAGTGAGTCTTCAAAATCTGGTGGGTAGTTTGCCCTTATATCACCTTTCACCTTTAGCCAGCCACATCTCAGATTCTCAACAGACTTGTGACTAGTGACTCCCATATTGGATACCATAGTTTGAGATACTTGCAATACAAAATCTAGGAAGGCATGATATCTCACTCTACACAGCTTGTAGTCAAATAATTAAGACACACACACATAAAAGCAAGGAAAGCACTGTCCGATGATTGCAGCTAGGAATTTTCAAGGGAAAAAAACGCATCTAAATAAGATGGCCCTTGCAGAAAAGGCATTCTTGAGGAAGGGATGCTACTTAAAGTAATAAAAGTAATTTCATATTATTGCCATAAATATTACATACAGAACACAATGCTATAGAGTTCATCAATGACAAATTTAAACAGCATTGCATATTAGCCTAATATTTTGAAATTTAACTAGAAACCATAGGAAACAAGCAAACATTTTTAAATTTGGAAAAGTTGTAATCATGCGTTTGTGAAAATATTCTAATTGTATGGTAGAGACTAGATGGGAAAAGGGCCATGTTGGGAACAAGGAGATCGGATCAATGTCCAGGAGTCTGCTGAGTAACAGGTGGCATGAGAGTGAACTAAGACAGTGGTTGTGGAAATGAGAAGATGAAGTAGATTGGAGGCTTTTGAACAGGGTGGATTCACAATGTACTGACTGTTTGGATGGCATCAGGAGAAAGAAAAAGGGAAAGTGAGTGGGGACATTATTATGACTCTATTTCTGATTTGGGGAAGGGGAAGATGATTTCATTCACCAAGATATAAATTACAGGAGCAAAAGGAGAAGATATTTCTTTTTACTCTACGTTCCCGGATACATGTGCAGGTTTGTTACATAAGTAAACATGTGCCATGTTCAGAAGCAGAAGATTTGTGCTTAACAATGATGTGTTGCCTTGTAAGCATGATTTACTGTTGGAAAACTGAGTAGAAATCCCCAATGACTAACTAAAGATGGTTCTAGAGCTCAGCAAAAATACAGAAGGATAAACACGAGAGTCTATTCAGTATACACATACAAGAATTTTTCCATGACCTAAAATAAGCTAGAATTTCAGACATGATGTAGATGTCTAAAAAAGGATGAAAAGTGAAATGAAATTAAAGACTATGTAGGAGTCTTTTAAATGCAAACACTAAACACAGACATGCAACAAGACAGAAATTCAACACTTTACCAATGACTTACAAGTATATTTTACTTGGCAAGACATGAAGTTTTCCATGCTGACAATATAGTAGATAAGTGTCTTAAATAAACTCAGGAGACAGCCCAAGCACGATTATTAAATTTTCTCAAAAGATAATTTAAAAGTTATTTGTACAGTTCACCAACATGTGATCAAAGCAAGATGATAGAGTTGAGTGAGGGGAAGATTTGTTTGCACTTGTCACATTATGCTAACTTTGTATCTCATTCATCAAGTTGTCTCTGGTGTACCCTTCAGCAATTTTGTGCTGCCTAATAAAGTTCAGCACATGATAATGTCCCTCTAGAGGAAACTATAATAGATTTGAAAGCATTCAGAATGGTCCACAATTCTAGATTATTTGAGAAGTTCATTTCATTGCTTTAATTGTGTAATTAAAGCTGAAGCAATAATAATAATAGCAAGCATCAACTGAACACATGCTAATGAGTGCCATATTAGTGCTTCACACAATTTAGATAGCTTAATCCTCACAAGAAGACATTATGTAGGGACTATTTTTATAGTCACTTTTTTTCTTTCTCTCTTATTTCCCTCCTTTCCCCTGCTGCCTTTTGTTTTACAGGAGAGTTACATTTCCAAGCACTTACTTCAGCTGGTTTCTTGCTGGATTCAACCAGTGGGAGGCACTGGTGTGAGATTAGATGATGGAAGGAAAGATGAAGACAGGACAATTCTCCCTTTCTTTTGGACAGCAGCAATCTTTCAAACTCCAATTCTTGCTTGGTATATAGTCTGCACCTCACAGCAGCACCCTCCATGGTATGGCCCCCATGGGATGACCCAGAATCTGGGATTTGGGAATTCCACTTCCTCCTGTTGCCCTTCTAGCCCTGGGGGCACTGGTGACTTCCTGCTCTTGCTAATCTCCAGGGAGTCTCAACATTTCCTGTTTGGCTTCTCAGTTCTTCCATTGCCTGTGTCATTAGTGTTCAATATTATATTTTTGTGGAACATTTCTGCTTTCCTAATTGAATAATCACATATATCTATATTTACTTGTTTTTATATATTTATATTATATATATATTAATTTTAATATATATAATATATATAATATATTTATTATATATAATAATATATATAAATATATATTTATTTATATATAAATATATGGTTATTTTTATATATATAACAAAAACGTACACACACATGACCTGTTATATGCTTATTTTATATTATAAGAGAAAGGGAAATATTTAATGTTTATTACAACTTCATAAGTACTGAGTATTATTAACCTTTTTGTTGTTTTTACATTTTTACAGTAAAGAATGGATTTCTATTTCAATAGTGGTTTTTAAGTTAAAAAAAGTACTCACACATTGTCTCTCCATCTTTTGGCTGGTTTTAACCTCTCATTGACACTAATCATATTATGCTATTGTAGTTTTTCATTGCTGTGGTGAAAACTCACCACAAATTTAGTGGCTTGAAATAAAACATATTTATTATTTTCTAGTTCTGCAGGTCAGAAATCTGGTTTGAGTATCACTGGGTTAAAAAGAAGCTGTTGGCAGGACTACATTCTTCCTGAAAGTACTAGAGGAGAATCTGATTCCTTCTCTTTTTCTGCATCCAGCAGCTGCCATATTCTTTTAATCATGGTATCTTACTCCATTTTTAAAGCCAGCAACAGCAGGTCAAATCCTATTCACTTTACATAACCCTGAGGTTTATGTTATTCTGGGGGGCCCAGCAGAATCCAGAATAATCTCCCTGTTTTAAGATCAGCTAATTAGCAACCTTAATTTCATTTACAACCTTAAGTTCTCCTTGCCATGTAATAGGATATATTCACAGGTCCCAGTGATTATGATGTGGACCTCTTGGTGGGGGGGCATTATTCTATCTAATACAGGTACTTTTTATTTTTTATAAGATGGCTATTTCCTACTAGATTATGAGCTCTTTATGCATATATCTCATATCTCTGATTTCTCTACACTGCATTGCACAAAATAAGTGATCAGTAAAAATGAAGCGCCTGCTTCCTTTTTTGATGCTGGTCCACCAAGAGCTTATCATAGTAAAAGCCTCCAACAAAATACACAAAAACCTTGGGGTAAGTCCCACTTCTTATATTTGTTCTACAAATATCAATTGTAAATAAATGTAGAATACAAACTGTTGAGTGTCTTGAGCCACTGCTGAAGTGTGCCCACAAAATGGGAGCGAAATGAAGAACCATTAAGTGATGTCAAGCTGCAGATGACAAGGCAATATGGCAGCAGCTTCCATGGTGGCGTGAGCCACCATGAGCTCAGAGATTGGATGTTCCCATTTCTCAGTGCCGGAGGAGTCACTATACTTGAAAAACAGAGAACCATCTGTATTCACTCTTCCAGATAAATTCCAGTTTGTTAATGCTTTTAGAAATGAGTTTATTTGGGACATGATGGAACAAGTGTATAGTTGAGGAACCTATATTTACATATCTTTTGTATGCAGTCTAATGTATATAAAAGTTATGTAACACCAAAGAAGCAGCAAGTAGGATATGATAAAATATGTTCATCTAAACCATTCTGGAGAAGAAAGAGAAAATAAGTAAAAGAGGTAAAAAAGAAACTGGATGCCGGTTCACAAACCCAACAAGTGAGCCAAAAGTTTGCTGGGAATTTCTAAGAATCATCATAAATTTTTTTCAATTCATATTTTAGTTTCAGGGAGTACATGTTCAGGTTTGTTACACGGGCAAATTGCTTGTCACCGAGGTTTGCTGTATGAATGAACCCATCACCTAGGCAGTGAGCATGGTGCCTGATAGGTAGCTTTTCAACATTCACCCTCTTCCCACCTTCCCTTCAAACAGTCCTAAGTGTCTGTTTTTCCCATCTTTATGTTCACGTGCAGTCAATGTTTAGTTCCTACTTGTAAGTGAGAAAATGCAGTGTTTGGTTAATTTGCTCAGGATGATGGTCTCCAGCTGCATCTATGTTGCTGCAAAAAAAATTTTCATTTTTTTCTATAGCTGTGTAATAGTCCATGACATATATGTACCACATTTATCCAGCCCACTGTTGATGGGAACCTAGGTTGATTGTATGTCTTTGCTATTGTGAATAGTGTTACAATGAACATTTGAGGCATGTGTCTTTCTGGTAGAACATTTATTTTCCTTTGAATATACCCAGTAATGGGATTGCTAGTGGTTTTAAGTTCTGTTTTAGGTTCTTTGAGAAATCTCCAAACTGCTTTCCAGAGTGGCTAAATTAATTGCTGTTCCCACAAAGAGTGTATGAGCATTTCCTTTTCTCCACAGCTTGACCAAAATCTGTTATTTTTTGACTTTTTAATAGTAGCCACTAAGACTGCCATGAGATGGTAGGTATCTCACTGTGGTTTTGATTTGTCTTTCTCTGATGATTAGAGCTGTTGAGAATTTCTGTATATATTTCTTGGCCACATGTTATGTCTTCTTTCAAGATGTATCTGTTCGTGTCTTTTGCTTTTTTTTCATGGGACTGTTTGGTTTTTGCTTATTGATTTAAGTTCCTTATAGATTTTTTATATAAGACCTTTGCAGGATGCATAGTTTGCAAATATTTTCTCCCATTCTGTAGGTTGTCTGTTTACTCTGTCAATAGTTTCTTTTGCTGTGCAGAAGTTCTTTAGTTTAATTAGGTCCCACTTATCTATTTTTATTTTTGTTGCAATTGCTTCTGGGGTCTTAGTCATGAATTCCTTGCCAAGATCAATGTTCAGAATGGTATTTCCTAAATTTTCCTCTAGGATTTTATAGTTTTTGGTTTTACATTTAAGTCTTTAATTCATCTTGTATTAATATTTGTATATTGTGAAAAATGAGTCGTTTTATTCTTTTGCATATGGCTAGGCAGTTATTCTAGCACTACTTATTCGATAAGGAGTTATTTTCCCATTGCCTGTTATCAATGTCGTTGAAGATCAGATACTTGTAGGTGTGCATCTTCATGTATGGGTTCTTATTCTGTTCATTGGTCTGTTTTTCTGTTTTTGTACCAATAGCATGCTGTTTGTGTTACTGTAGCCCTAAAGTATTGTTTGAATTCAGGTAGTATGATGCTTCCATCTTTGTTTTTCTTGCTCAGAATTGTCTTGGCTATTTGGGTTCTTTTTTGTTTCATATGAATTCTAGAACTTTTTTCCAATTCTATGAAAAATGATGTTGGGAGTTTGATAGAAATAGCCTTGAATCTGTAGATTGCTTTGGGCAGTATGGCCATTTTAACTATATTGATTCTTCCAGTCCATGAGTATGATATTTCCATTTGTTTGTATCATCTATGGTTTCCTTCAGCAGTGTTTTATAGTTTTCCTTGTAGATATTTTTCACCACCTTGGTTATATGTTTTCTTGGTTATTTTATTTTGTGTGTGTGCAGCTATTGTAAATGAAACTGTGTTTTGGCTCTGAGCTTGAACATTATTGGTATATAGAAATGCTACTGACTTTTCTGCATTTATTTTGGGTCCTGAAACTCTACTGAAGTCATTTTTCAGTTCTAGGAGGGTTTTAGTGCATTTTAAATGGGGCATTTTATCATATATTTCAAGGTTAATATTTATAGGTGAGGTTTTTATTCTACCATGAACTTGTTAGCTGGTTGTTTTGTAGTTTCTATTGTGTAGATGCATTAAAAGACCTAGGTACTTAGCTGTAGTTTTCTGGAAACAGATATAAGTCTTTTGTCTCCATGTTTAGAACTCCCTTGAGTCTCTTGTAAGGCTAGTATAGTTGTAATGAATTTCTTTAGTGATTTCTTGTCTGAAAAATAATTTAATTCTCCACTTATGAAGCTTTGGTGGGGTATGAAATTATTGGTTGGAGTTTCTTTTCCTTAAGAATGCTGAAAATAGGGCCCCAGTCTCTTCTGGCTTGTAGGGTTTCTGTGGAGAGGTCTGCTGTTAGCCTGCTTGGTTTGCTTTATATGTGATCTTACCTTTTTCTTTAGCTGCCTTTAAGAATTTTGTTTTTAGGATTGACCTTAGACAGCCTAGTGACTACATGTCTTGGTGATGTTCATTTTGTATAGTATCTCACAGATGTTCTCTGAATTTCTTGTATTTGCATGTCTACCTTTCTAGTAAGATTAGGGAAATTTTCTTGAATTATTCTTTCAAGTTTTCTGGGTTGTTTACTTTTTGGGCTTCTCTCTCAGGAATACCAATAATTTACAGGTTTGGTCACCTTACATAATCCCATCTTTCTCAAAAACTCAGTTCATTTTTTAAAATTATTTTTCTTTGGATTAGTTTAAAAGACTGATTTTTAAGCTCAAAAATTCTTTCTTCTGCTTAGTCTAGTCCACTGATAAAGCTTTCAATTATATTTTGAAATTTTCTAAGTGAGTTTTTCAGTTCCAGTAGCTCTAATTGATTTTTTAAAAATGTTTACCTCTTCTTTTATTTCCTGGATTGTTTTAGAAGGTCTTTGTGTTGATTTTCAACCTTGCCTTGGATCTTGTTGAGTTTCCCTGCAATCCATGCTTTGAACTCTCCATCTGTTATTGTTGTGTCTCCATTTTGGCTAGGGATCATTGCTGGGGAGCTAGAGTGAAACTTTGATTGTGACACAACATTGAGATTTTTTTAGAGGCAGAATTCTTATGCTGGTTTCTTCTCATCTGAGAAAGTGTTGGGTGGGTTTTTTTGGCTTTGTTGTTATGGTCCTATGCACTTCTGTCAGCAGGTTTTATATTGGGCTGGGTGGTTCAACCTACATGACAGAAGATGACATTTGCAGGTAACTGCCAGCTGCAGCATATGCAGGTGGGTATAGATGTGATTTTTATTTACTGTGGGGTGCTCTCTGCTGTTTCAGGTGAAGGGTTGGCCATGACTTGTTGAAGCAAAATTAAGAAATGCATGAAATGATTCTAGAAATGAAAATATGTGAAGTAAGAAGAAAAGAGTGAGGTAAAACTAGCTACTTCCATTCTTCCCCAAAAGCTATGGCTTATGCCAGGCTGAAGAGGAAAGTTAAATGTGCAGCACACACATGTTGCCTGGTAGAATGTGAGCCAAGAGGAAGCCTGAGCACATCCATTGCTATTGAAACTGGAGTTTAGAGCCATCTGGTTCAAAGCCATGCATTACAGCTGAAAAGGACTAAGGAGTGTACGGATGCCAAAATATACATTACCAGTTCATAACAAAAGCAGGTAAAAAAAAATCCACGTTCCTTAATCTTATTTTGCACTACTATGACAATTTTATATTCTGAAATAGGTTTCAGATTTCTAAAAAACTGCCAACATCTTAAGTAACTTTTTAATAAACTAGTCTCTGGCAATACCATTTAAAAAGTCCACGCATGTACCTGGTAAAAGGGAAATGTGCAAAATACAACATCCTTTGGGATAGGAATAGATAGAAATACATTAATAAAATGAAGTATTGCCCTTAAATGTGAAGGACGTATTATTTAACCTTGGGATTATCCCTTTCTACTGTGGTGATTCTTAATCTAGTTTTGTCTTATTGGTTAATTTATCTTCTTTTAGTTACAAAATTAAAAGCTAAAGGAACATTGCCTTCATTTTGTTGTTAAACAAATAGAAGCAAAAGTGGTGAAAGTCATTCCTTACAAAAATGAAAGACAATCTATCTTTTTTTTCTTGGCAGATGCATTCTATAACTTTTGCCACCATATCTCTGACACTTTATTCCATTCTAGGTTCCATGGATGTTGACTGTTTCTGCTAAGTCACCCTAAGAATAGAATTTCTTTTATGTCAATCCAACTGTACTTGGCTTCTGTTCATGGCAATGATTCCTGGAACACGGTGAAACTGAACCTTCTTCAAGTCATTTGATGTTGAGTACAGAACCTGTCACCTTTCAGTTAGCATTTATCCAAACTCTTGGATCCCAAAGGGATAAATGCCACCTCCTTACGGGTGCTAAAGAAGACCTTATAACTTACAACTGGTCACTAGTAAAAGGGGGGTGAAAATGATGGAGATTTCTGTTTCCCACGTACGTCTTAGAACCAAGTACTGATAAAGCCTTGTATTTATTTAGGCTTCAGTTGGTCTGAAATAATATATGCCCCAGCAAAATTGGCTTATTTATTTATTTGGGGTGAAGATCCCAGGCATAAGTTTATAATTTTGACCTCTAGAAAATATAGTAATAATTTTAAGTCACCTAATTGTTACTATCCATATAAATAATATTATTACAATAAATGGTTTATATCCATTAGAAAAATAAACCTTATAATGGTGAAATGAAACACTGTAAGGAGCTGTGTTGTTTGATGTTACAGCAAAACTTCCAAAACAATTCTAGGCCCCTCCACTTCTGGACTTCTCATTAAGCCTATAACAATTTTCTTTCTACTTTAATCTACTGTCATTATTACTTGGTTTTACTTACACTTGAAATCATCTTAATTGACACAGGGTATAGGTAATATATAATGTAATATGATTCTTAGATTATATGTTTATAAGTAATTAAAGTATAACATGTATCATTCTTATTTTATGTCAATAATTTTCAATATAATAATGGAACTTGTTTTCTTTTCTATTTTTAAAAATAATTTGTCAGTTTTTATGCCCATTATAGAAAAATTCAGATTAAAATATTTTTATCAGAGAGATGTAAGAAGATGGAATCATAGAATTTGCTAAGACAGCTATAAGATATACTGCCTACTGATTTGTTTACTTCTTCTTTATGGTACTTAACTACCTGTGAGACAGTTTTCATTTTTCCTTAGTCATTCACCTGAGTTTACAGGCACTTCTGCTGTTGCAGTTTTCTGATCTCATATATAAGATTTTCAAAGCTCTATTTCTTTTTTACATAAGCTAGCATGAGTTCTAGAATGAGAGGATAAAGAAATGAGGAGAGAAAATTATCAAAGATGTAATTTAAGAATTTATTCATAATTGAAGGATGCACACTTTCAGTCTTAAAAGTCCTACTTAATAACAAATAAAATAAATTTTTAAAAATTCACACTGAGTCATATCGCACAACTTTTATAATACCAGAGATAAATAGACAATCCTAAAATCTTACCCATCTGGGTACACAGATCACATACAAAAGAATGGCACTCAAAGTTTACTGGATGATAAAACACAATGGAATAATGCCTTGAAAATCAAAGATAAACTTATTTTTAATCAATTTATAGTGCAATGACTGATCTAATTCTCCTCTCCTAGCTAGGCAGTCAAATTACACTTCCTTGTCCTCTTTAATATGAAATGTGGAAATGTAGTGTTGACGCTTGCTTTGGCCAATTAAATAAGAGTGATAGTCACGTATATCACTTCAAGGTAGAAGGTGCATGATGTGCCATGCTTCTAAGGGGCCTTGATAAATATGGTCCTGTGAATTGCTTGGCCAATAAAGAATAAATGGACATAAGGTGTGTCACTTTCAAATGGAATTTTCAGAGTGAGTGGAGTATTAAAGTCTTCCACAATTATTGTGTGAGAGTCTATGTCTCTTTGTAGGTCATTAAGAACTTGCTTTATGTGTATGGGTGCTCCTTTGTTGGGAGCATATATATTTAGGATAGTTAGCTCTTCTTGTTGTACTGATCCTTTTACGATTTTATCAGAGACTAGGGTGGCAACCCCTGCTCTTTTTTTGCTCTCCATTCTCTTGGTGAATCTTCTTCCATTTCTTTATTTTGGATCGATGTGTGTCTTTGCATATGAGTTGGGTCTCCTGAATACAGCACACCAATGGGCCTTGACTTTTTATCCAGTTCTCCAGTCTGTGTCTTTTGACTGGGGCATTAAGGCCATTTACATTTAACATTAATATTGTTATGTGTGAGTTTGATCCTGCCATTTTGTTACTGGATGGTTGTTTTGCCTGTTAGTTGACACAGTTTCTTCATTGTGTCGTTGGTCTTTACCATTTGCAGTGGCTGGTACTGGTTGTTCCTTTCAATGTTTAGTGTTTCCTTCAGAAGCTCTTATAAGGCAGGGTCTGGTGGTAACTAAATCTCTCAGTGATTTCTTGTCTGTAAAGGATTTTAGTTTTCCTTCACCTATGAAGCTTAGTTTGGCTGGATATGAAACTCTGGGTTGAAAGTTCTTTTCTTTAAGGATGTTGAATATTGGCCCCCACTCTCTTCTGGCTTGTGTGGTTTCTGCCAAGAGATCTGCTGTGAGTCTGATGGGCTTCCCTTTGTGGGTAACCCTACCTTTCTTTCTGGCTGCCCTAAGCATTTTTTCCTTTATTTCAACCCTGGTGAATCTGACAATTATGTGCCTTGGGTTTCTCTTCTTGAAGAATATCTTTGTGGTGTTCTCTGTATTTCCTGGATTTTAATGTTGGCCTGCCTTGCTAGGTTGGGGAAGTTCTCCTGGATAATATCCTGAGGAGTGTTATCAAGCTTGGATTCCTTCTCCCCCTCCCCATCACATTCAGATACACTGATCAAGTGTTGATTAGGTCTTTTCACATAATTCCATATTCTTGGAGGCTTTGTTTATTTCTTTTCATTCTTTTTTTCTCTGATCTTGCCTTCTTATTTTATTTCATTGAGTTGATCTTCAATTTCTGATATCCTTTCTTCTGCTTGATCAATTCAGGCACTGAAACTTGTGTATGCTCACAAAGTTCTCGTGCTGTGTTTTTCACCTCCATCAAGTCGTTTATGTTCTTCTCTAAGCTGGTTATTCTAGTTAGCATTTCATCTAACCTTTTTTCAAGGTTCTTAGTTTCTTTGCATTGGGTTAGAACTTGTTCCTTTAGCCCAGAGAAGTTTGTTACTACCCAACATCTGAAGCCTGCTTCTGTCAATTCGTCAAACTCATTCTCCATCCTGTTTTGTTCCCTTGCTGGTGAGGAGTTGTGATCCTTTGGAGGAGGAGAGGTGTTCTGGTCTTTGATGATTTCATCATTTTCGCATGGATTTATCCCATCTTCATGGATTTATCTACCTTTGATCTTTGAAATTGGTGATTTCAGATGGGGCCACTGAGTGGACATCCTTTCTGTTGATGTTGAAGCTATTTCTTTTTTTCTTTTCTTTTTTCTTTTCTTTCTTTTCTTTTTTTTTTTTTTTGTTTTTTTTTGTTTGTTTGTTTGTTTTCCTTCTAACAATCAGGCCCCTGTGCTGTAGGACTCATGGAGGACCACTCTAGACCTTGCTTGCCTGGGAATCACCTGTGGGTGTTGCCAATCAGCAAGTATTGCTGCCTGATCTTTCCTCTGGTAGCTTTGTCCTGGAAGGGTACCCACCAAGTGACAGCCAGAGCTCTCCTGCATGAGGTGTGTTTTTGGTTATACAGAGGTCAGGGAGCTGCTTGAGGAGGCAGTCTGTCCCTTTTCTGCCTGCGGAGTCACTGCTGGGCTGTCACAGACTCAGTCCAGCTGCTGTGTAAACTTCCTCTGGCTTTTGTTTAAACAGGTAGGTTTAGACCTGACTCAGCAATGGCAGACACCCTTCCACCCACTGAGCTCAATTGTCCTGGGCCAAGCTTGAACTGATGTACTGGCTGCAAAACTTTCAAGTAAGAGGGCTTTAGTTTGCTGGTCTTTTTGGGTGTGGGACCACCAGCCATATTACCTGTCTCCCCGCTTTCAGCTCCCCCTCTTTCTGGGGATCGGGTAGCTCCATCCTGTAGGTGTTCTCAGTGCTACTCAAAACATTCACCCAGATCTGTGCCAATAACCTATGGCATCTGCTGGAGCTGCCACAGTGCTTTTCAACCCTGCAGGGATCTCCTGGTCTGTGGGTTGCAGAGGGTGTGGTAGAAGCACAGTATGTGAACCAGAGTGCTAGTGTGAGGGAAAGTCTCCGATCCTCTGGTCAGTTGTACTTCCTGAGTGAGGTAGTGCCCCATTTTGCTACGGTTTGCCCTCCTTGGGCTACACCCACTGTTCAACTAGTCCCATTGAAATGAACCTGGTACCTCAGTTGGAAATATGGAGATCACTCAATTTCTGCATCTCTCTCTCTGGGAGCTGTGCTCTGGAGCTGTTCCTATTCAGCCATCTTGGCGGAATCTGTGTTTTTGTATATAGCAATATTCCAAGCCATGTACTGATTCAATGTCAAGTACTCAGTGATGAAACATCTGGATATATACCTTAGTCATGGACTTATTACTGTCTTCTGGGTGACTTCTAATTTAATGTATCAAAACTTATGTGCTTCTCCCATGCAGCAAAAGGCATTATGTTAAAGTTCCTCCCCAACATAGGGTGAATGTGAGAACTGGAAAGTATTAGTTCAATATAGTAGCCAAAGGACTAATTATGTGGTTTCACTGGAAAGGCAACCCTAATTCTAAATGAAGTCCCAGGGTAGCATTAGAGAAAGGATTCACCATTGGAGTTTTTTTTTTTCACTCTAACATAAATCAAAAGTGACAGAGAATTGTATTGCAACTTCTTCTAAACTAAATTTATCTTGGAATAGAGACAAAACAAAGATGATTTATGAACTGAAGGACATTTTCCACTATTATTCTGAACATATGTAAACAAAGAATGAGACTGAAAATCTATATGCCCTTTTACCTAGCCTCAGGGAACTATCTCATTGAAACTGTTTGCTACCTCATGGAAAATAACCAAAATGGATTAGCTCCATGGAACAAAAGAAGTGACATTATAAACTCAAGTGACAAGCAACAAGATCCCATAGGGAGCAAATTTCTTAAAAGGAACTTTCAAAATTCCTTTCTTCTAGGTTTATCAGCATGGGGAGCTTAATTTCAAGAAGCTTTAGAGAGGGAGAAAATTGTGGCACACACTCTGCTTAGTTTAGATCTCTTAATCCTTCTAAATTGTTCTGCCTTGTTTAAAAAGATCTGCTTACAACTATCATTGTGCAAGTGTAAACACAAGAATTCTCAGATCATTCTTTGAGCTTCAGCTCTGCCAGACATCATTCATGTCTCATTTTACAGACAAACCCCTAGCACCACCAAAGCTGCTTCAAAAAAACCCAGCCATAATGCAAGGCGCATGTACAAATCTTTGCATGTCTGGGTTTCCCTATAAGGGCATTGAGTTTTATTCCCATCACAATTCTTGTTTATAGCTCCCTGGATTTATAGCCACCCTCTTAAACATCTGCAGTCATCATTTTTTTTTCTCTTTCCTAAGGAAAAACACAACTCTCTCTATAGAACAGAAAACAGGTATTTTCTTCTATTAAGCCTTAAAGGGAGGTGTTCTTTCTGTGTTTTAACCATTGAAGTAAGCGAAACATAAGACTCCAATGATATCAAGAGAGTTAGGGGGAGGAACGTTGACACTGGAACTTTAATATTTTTGCAAAGTTCCATCAGCTGCAAGTCAGGAAAACAGCATTTTAAATCCACAATTTTATTAACTCACTGTGTGGCTAAAAGCAAATCTCTTCATTTTCTTTGTGCTTCATAGAAACGCAGACCTTTAAAACCAGGAGCAACCTTAGGATTTCATTCAATACAACAAAACTCATGTTTGAGAGACAGCCCCATATCCCAGATTACTAATTTAACCTCCTTCAGGGGCAGAGTTGGAGCTTCTCTACAGAACTTACAGTGTATTTACTGCTATCTCTACTATGCTATTACTCAGTTCCCTAAGCCAAAGCCTAGGTCTAAGGACAGATTTCCTATCAGGTGAATTGCAAGGATCACACAAAATATTTCACCTGGAGGCATATTTAAAAAATTGTAAATGAAACCTAAATGTAAGGTGTTGTATATCTTACATTTAACAATAGCTATGCAATGCAAATTCCAACGCTATCTTTAGAGTCACTTTCAGATTTTTATACTAATACATCCTAAAGAAAGAAGTCATCTTTTAGAGTCCATTATTGGCAAAAATCTACGGTCTCATTCTCTCTAATGATGTGTGTGTGTGTTTGCACACACATCCATCTGCACATGTGTGTAGCTGAAAAGGGCTACTCTGAAAAGAATGCCTACAGCCCTAACAATAGTCAGCATTTTTTTACATCTTGACCCTGTCTTTACTACAACACTAACACTTTTAGGGAAGTTACTCCATCTGGATTAAATTTTGTCTTCCCAAAATTGATATTTGAAGCCTTAACCCTTTATGTGATTGTACTTAGAGACAGGGTGTTTAGAAAATAATTAAGATTAAATTACATCATAAGAATGGGGACTAATAGGACTGGTAGCCTTATAGGGAAGGAAGAGAGAGATTTCTTTTTCTTCACAGAGAAGTCATATGGCCATATAATGAGACGGCCGCCACCTGCAAGCCAGGAAGATACACCTCACCAAAACTCAATTGCCTAAATCTTGATCTTGGACTTCCAACCTCCAGAATGGCGAGAAAGTAAATTTCTGTTGTTGACACCACCCCATCTGTGGTATTTTGTTATAGCAGCCTCAGCAGACTAATGCATTACTTCGGAGTAAATTACTAAAAATAAATCCTTTAAGAAACATCCTACTGAAAAGTAAACTTTCTGTTGAAAAAAAAAAAGCAGAAATATTTTAAAAGTCAGCTGCACACGTTTGTTTTGAATAGTTCCTTTCCACATCACTTCCTGACACATCTGGCTTTTAAAGGTTGCCAATATGACATTCAGTGGCAATAGCAAAAACAACAATTCAATCAGATTCTTAACATCATGATTACATCCAAAGAAAAAAATGTGGCGTGCCTTATTCCAGAGCAATAAAAATGTTATTGTGCTGCTCTTCTTATTTCTAAAAATATAGCAGTCCCAGAAAAACAAGTAAATAACTCATTTCTCCATCAGTAAAAACCAAGAATATTCTTAAAGTAGAAAATCTTTTGTGAGTTACCTTCTCTAATTGGTGATCTCTGGGCTTGTCCCTAATTGGAGCTTGTGACAAAATGCCACAATGCTCAAGCTCTTTCACCTAGTACCAAGCATTTTAACAGATGAAATTGCCTGAGTCATAATTGTTTTCAAGGAGTTCTTTCTCCCTTCCTCTCCAGCTTTTAGTTACAAGTATTATTTTTTCCAATACTGCTTTTCCCTTTTTTGTCGCCAGAAAACCCAAGCTCGTTTTCAAGATTAAATTACAGCTAGTGACTTTCCTTTGTTGAAAGGACAAGATTTCTAACAAAGGAGGTGCCTTTCAAGGTAAAACAAGATGCATTAAGGCACTGGGTCCCAAGGCCTAGATATCTGCATCTTCATAAAGCCAAGTAACCTTGTAAATGGTCCAGATGTTAGTACTAATTTCAATCTTACTTCCTCAAAAGAAAAGAAAAAAGAAAAGGGAAGGAAAAGAACCTCTTATCCTACACACACACACACACACACACACACACACACAAGCAATGATATGAATAGCTGAGTTCTGTGGATTAAAATTCGACAGAGCTTATTGCCATGTTATTTATTTAAAATAATCTGGATATATTTCTATGGTGTGTTACATAAATTGAAATAATATTCATATACTCCATTGACTAAACTCTTGAATATTTTCATCAGTTTAAATTAAAAGGTAAAATCTAAAAACAAAGGTAAAAAGTGAGCAATTTACAATCTTCTTGATATGTTTTCCATATATTTATTGCAATCACAAAAATATTAAGGATTATTTTACTTAGTATCAGACAGCACATGCTGTTAAACTAATACTTACTAAAAGACACTACCTATACCCTGTTTATTGCCTTGCGCGGAGTTGATGTGAAAAGGAACCATGGAGCACTAAGAAAAACTAAAAGAAGAAAATGGTATTTATGTTATCTTTCCTTGCCCAGTTTTAACGGAAGATGGTCCATTTAAGGTCCTATCTCAGAAGAGCAGAGGTGCCTGCTATTGCAGGATCTCCCAACCCGACACTGCTCTAATATGATGCATGAGCCTTTCTCTCTAACCTGTAGTAAAACCCTTGGTCCTCACTGCTTTAGCCACCACATCCCAGTCACAAGTCCATCTCACAATTTAAGACTCATATAATATTAACCCACATTTTCCTTTATCAACTTT